GCAGGGAGCCCGATGCGGGACTCGATCCTGGGACTCCAGGATCATGACCTGAGCCAAAGGCAGTCGCTTAACCAACTGAGCCACCCAGGCACCCAGGGCTGTGATATTTTAAAACTAAAATTTTGTTTATCCAGACTGATCCTCTGTGAGAGAAGGCAGAGTGTCCAGGGCTTCTCAGATCCAAAATTATAGAATTGGGTATCCACAATATACATCTCCAGTTTAAAAAGTTAATGTCACTACACATAAATACACTACACATGTAGTGTATTTATGCAATAGGATACTAATTCAGCAACTAAAAAGAACTATATACAGCAGCGTAGATGACTCTCACAGGCTGTTGAATGAGAGAAGCCAGGCACAAAAGTGTATCTCCTGCATGACCCGTTTTATATAAAGTCCAAAACCAGGCACAAACTGGAATCTTATGAAAGGAAAACATTTCATTTTTTCCTTTTGCAAGGGGAAATGACCTAGAGGTTTCTGGGGCGTAGTAATACACTCTTATCTCAGTCCAAGGATATACTCATTCTGTAAAGTTTATCAACTTGTTCACTCATTATTTGGTGCACATGTCTATACATATATGCATTCTGTTTTAAAAGTTTACAGGGAGAAGATAATGAGTTGAAAACGACTCAGTTTTTTTCTAATATTGCTTAACTCAGAGCTGCCTAAAGCATATATCTATAATGGAAAACACAAACATTCCCAAAGTCATGTATAGGTCAATGCAAGGGTCCCCACCGCCCCCCCCATCAATACTACAAGTTAAAGAGCCCCATATGCTAGATTGCTTCTTAGAGCAAACAAATTACCTTTTGATGTAAGGCTGAGATTAAAAAGTGGGTGCATAAAACATTTTTCTCATTTCTTTAACTGGATACGAATCCTGGGCCCAATTTTGTGGCAAAAAGACTTCTTAATCCATCAAGGAAAAATCGCTTCCTACTTAATGGTGCTGAGCTAACTAATCAACACCCAGCAAAATAAGGGTTTTATTTAGAGAATGGTGTTTAAGTTCTCAGGTAGGGGGCCCAGAGACCTTCCGAAGCCCTACCCAGATGCGCCTCTATTTCTCCATTGTGGGGGCAACCTGTCTTCAACCGAAAAACATCTGGAGAGATTTAAATTCAATTATGTAAAGAAAAGTGCATCTGGGCTGCAAATTTTTATATAAAGCTGTGAAAAAAAACTGCCAGGATTTGTTTTCTGTGAATCATACACACACACACACACACACACACACACACACACTCACACAAACACACAGACAAAATTTTTATGGACTCCAACAAAAGTAAACCTTGTTCATCTGGCTCTTAAGTTAAAAAAAAAAAAAAAAGATACACATCCATCTCAGGTGTTTATCTGATTGCTGGCCGTAATTAATCTTAGATTCCAACAGGAGGAAATAGAGAGCAAATGGCAGGGTTTCACATTTGTGTACTTATGTACTTATCCTAGTTTTCTATACACAGTGCAATACTAATTCATGGACTTCTTCCATGTGTTTTAGACAATTTTCAAAAATGGGATTTGTGGATGACAAGCGGATTGCAATTTGGGGCTGGGTGAGTAGTTGTTTGGCTATGAATCTGTGTCCATATAGTTAGTGAATATAATTCAGAACGCGATAATTTATCTTTGGCATGTGAATATTTGGAGATGAAAATCACGTATCTTTAACCTAAGAAGACCCCGATAAAATGTCTTAGATCTCTAGGCGGTGAGTCCCTGCTAGTCAGGCGTACATCTTCGCTTACTATGATTAAGGAGGGAGGTGAGGGAGGTAAGGAAGGGAGAGAAAGAGCGAGGGGGTGGGGAAGGAGAGCAGGAGAGAAGGAAGGAGGGTGATTTTTCTCATGAGTCAAAGTCAGTAAAGATCTAGTGTTTATTGATCTTTTTTTCTTTAAGTACTACCCAGCAAATTTTTGATGCTTTTCCCCCTTAGACCTATCAAGGACAGGGACCAGGGCTCTGAAAGTATAGTCTTGAGATATTGTCCAATTAAGGCCAATTTAAGCCCTTCTCTACCATGCTTTCTGTCTCTAAAGAGGCACAGTATATAAAGATGTGAGAAATATGGAAACTGCGACTCGCTTACCATATGTCCTGAATTCCTTTACCTCCATAAAAATAACCATTTCCACTCCTTAGTCATATGGAGGGTACGTAACCTCAATGGTCCTGGGAGCCGGCAGTGGCGTGTTCAAGTGCGGGATAGCCGTGGCACCTGTCTCACGGTGGGAGTACTATGGTATGTAATTACTTTCAGGTACAAAAAGATACAGAGCGTTGACCTTAAAACTCCAATGGCAAAACCATTCCTTTTTGAGTTGCAGTGCTTCTACAGGAAATAAGCTGATTCACTGTAGATGCGCTTTACAGATACCTGTAATCGAATGATCTCACTTATTCTGCTGTTGCGAAAGGCTCTGTGGTATTGTTATCTATACGTTTAGTTATCAACAAATTCTGTTTTCTAAATTTCAGAGCATCCCTAATGCTACATTTCTGCAGATAAACCCTTATCTTATTTTAGTTTGAGTTTTTGGGCTTCACATATTAGCAGAATAAAAGAAGCATGTATTTCTTTTTCTTCCAGTAAAGGTCAAATAAAGTAGGGCTTTGGGTGGAAAGACGAGAGTAAGGATGGGGGAATTTCTGGGTTGTTTGTGGTTTTTTTCCCCACTGTCTCTAAGTTAGTGAAAGCCACTCTAGGATCTCTTCTTCGTCATTGAGAAATAATTCTATAAGGCATCATACATGTGTAAGACTGTAATTCCCCAGGGGGAGAGAGTGAGCATTGGAACACTAGTAGGGGGAAAGAGAGGTGGTGAGAGGATGAATTATTTTCCTGTACCTTTTCAGACCCCATCTCAAGTCCTTTCTGCGATAGACTCATTGAAACAAATATGCTCATTACATATTTTATGCCCTAATGTATGGTAGTACCAATCTTGTAGGAAACCCTTTTTTAAAGGCTAAGTCAAGAGAAGCCAATGTAAAAAATAATAAATAAATAAATAAATATTGCCCTTTCTGTTAAAAAAAAAAAAAGCTGGAAAGCATACTTCTGACTTAGTCTGCACACAGTGGATTTGTTTTCATATGATACTTTCCTGCTTATACTAATTGTTCCGTTGGATAGCTTGTTTTTGGAGACCTCTGGTGGTCAATAAAATAATAGAAGCAATCTTTGTGAGTTTAGAAGTGTAATGATAAGAGAACTTCATTAAATATATTTGGACCAACTCAATTTTCTAGACATAGGCACTTTCTAGAGTTCTTACATATGTATTAATTTGAACAGTTTTACTCAAAGGTCACATAGAAGGAATACATAAATGGTATTTCAAAGGTGCATTTGTAAAAGTTTACAACACCTGTATTATGCATTTTTTAAAATCCTATTACTAAAATTTCAGGGGTGTCTGGGTGGCTCAGCCATTAGGCATTTGATTTCAGTTTAGGGTTGTAAGATCTAGCCCTGCGCTGGGCATGGAGCCTGCTTAAGATTCTCTCTTTCCTTCTCTCTCCGCTCCTCCCCTCCCCCTGCTCCTACACACACTCTCATACACACTCTCTCTCTCTAAAAAAGAAAAAATGAATTTCAGATCTTCTCACAAATGTAAACCTGATTAACATAATAAGAAAGGGGTATTATGTCGTAGGGCAAGAAGAGTTGAAGTCTGCTGCCGTTTCAGGAAAAATTTATTTTGCCCTTAAATGCTATTTTCAAACCTCCTCTCACATGTCCAACCTAAATTATTCATTTTTAAATGTTAAAAGATATGAACATTTTATGAAGATCTTGTATTTTTAAATGTTCTTTAAAATATTATATTTTCTATATCAGTGTCCTCTAGATACATAAAATTACATATAGTCTATATTCCTTTTAATCAGAAGGTTAAAATATTGCTGTTATTCATTTTGAAAGACAGTATTTTGATTTCCATAGAACAGGCATAAAGAACACATATGGAATAACTAACACTCATTATCAATGTAGTTTTTAATGATGCCAGTCATTCAAAAAGGGTTAGAATGTTGCTTAAGGTTGTTGTTTAGATGATATATTCATTTAAAGAATTAATGAGATTAGTATTGAACTACATGTACAATTTGCAGTGAAATTCAAACCATTAACCTAAATAGCACAATGACAGCATATTACTCTATACTTCTCTATTTACTATAATCTGGTCACTGGAGGGGGCATCTTTCAAAGCAATTACTTAAGATTTTTTTTTTTAAGATTTT